ACAAAAAACAAACAAAAACAGGCATAAATATGCGTAATGGGTTATGCACGACTAAGCGTATGCCCTGCACTAACTAAGCCCCCATCGAATAACAGGCAATTTATATGGAATATATGAAATGAGCATCAAAATTGAACTGATATTTAAGTTAATATGAAAAGAAATATTCTTCCAGATAACTAAGCTGTAGACGAGTTTACAGCCCAAATAGTGTCTGGGAATCCAACGCATGCCCAACATACCCTCCCTGCGCTTCGTCATATTCACGGGGTATATTGACAAGCGCGCAGAATTATAACGAAATATGCAGCATACTGCGAGGCGCACAATGCACATGCGAGCTATGAAAAAGTTGCAACGTTGTTTAAATAACAAACGGGCCATGAAGGGTTCGTCCCATAAATGGGATGCCAAGGGAGGGCGTGACAGCGGGTATAAGTTAAGTTAAGTAAACAAGGCATAAAGCGATTGACGGCTTCTGCACGGCGGAAATTTACCTGTAATCGCACCACAGAGCAAACAAATCAATTGAGCGTGAAAGGCCCGACCCGCCACCTCCTCGTATCCTCGAGCTGGAGTTGGGTCTGAGGAGACGCGCTTTGTTGATAATTGAAAGCGTCTGCTCGCTGGCACACTTAATCAATCAGCTAAAACAGTCGATCAATCAATCAATCAATCAATCAATTGCTTAACACAGCAACAACAGAAGGTCAGAGCAGCTGTCGAGCGTCGCGTTTACTGGGTTAACTTGGTATTGGGTGTGTTTCAGACTCCTGCTAATTGCAATTAGTGAGCGCGACTTTGACAGCAACTGTGACAACAACAACAATGACAACAACAACAACAACAACAGCAGCAACAACAACAAGGAGAACAACTGAAGTAACAACAACAACAACAACAAAAATAGCCAAGCGAGGTCAAGCGACAGTGTTTGTTTAGTTGGTTGCCCGAGCTCACGGGTAAGGGTTAACTTGTCAAGTGCAACACTAGAAAAGAAAAGTCCATAACAATGGAAAATGCGTTTGATTGGCAAAGCTCGGCGAGCGAAAGCTTCACTTTTCCATTTACAAACGTTAAGTTTTCAATCAGCGTGAGGCTTACTGGAAGATGCACCAAGTTATTTAATATAATATGTTGAAGTTCCAGGCCCCTGCCAGAGTGTCGTATATGCAGATAGGCTTCTAGCTTTAGAGCTGGGAATAGCTTTCAACCATTGTATGTACAAATTCAGGCATTAACATGAGGATAGATTTGCAATGCATTGCTAAAGTGCTTGTTAACTAAATATCATGCTTGATTTTAAAAAGCCTTCCTTATTGTAGTATGCTTGAGCAATGATAGCTTATATTGATGTTTAATAATTTACAGGCCGCTTATAAATATATAAATGTTAAAATCTTCATGTCAATTTCAACGAATTTTGACAGCCACCAGGAAAATCTACGCTGAAGATAAGAAGATAGCTTTTGGGAAATATGCGTGAATTCGTGGACTATTGCCACGCTATGTGAGAATGCCCAAGTTTGTAGAGTGTTGCCTCTTTGTGTCAAAGAAAGATGCGCTTTGAACGAGTTGGCAACTCTGTTTATCATAATTAAATTCATGGAGCGTAGCTGGACTTTAGTAAGTGTTGAACTTAAGCAGTCAGAATTGTGTTTGACATTGCAGGCGGTATCTAAAAATAGACTTTTAAATTGCATTCCTTAATTCTCGGAATTCAATTCTTCCAACTGTACACGCGCAAACACAGAAACACACACACACACACAAATCTAAACTCTTGTTAGGATTCTGCCAGTTGATGCTGCAATCAGCGCAATATGCCACAAAGCAAGCGTGGAAAGCCAGTCCAGAAATAGAAATGGGAAGAAAGAGTGGTACGAAGGCAGAAAGAGAGAGAGAGTGAGAGAGAGAGGGGCGGGGCGGGGGATAGCCAATTTATATTTGCTGGCCCGATAGCCGGGCGAACGAACACACAAACTGTGTCAAAGCAATGCGATGTGGCAACATGTGGCCACAGAGTGTGGCACACAGCCACATTGCCACAAACGGTGAGTCGAACGAACGTTGCATTCTGTGTCTTTTGTGTGGCTCTGATGCCGGATCCTGGGCGCGCTGCCAAAGTGCCTGCGGTTATGCGCCAGTTGTTTGGCTGGCCAGCATCAAGGCTGCAACATAGCGTGCCACATGCGGGGGCAGCAGCAACTGCAGGTGCTGCTGGCAAGCTCAGACACAGAAACTCAGAAACTCAGAAACTGAAACGAGCCGCATTAACGCCGCCTTTAAAATTTATGATATTTACTCGAGCAGACGCTGAGGCCAACGAGTTGGGCATTTTACTTAGCTGCACGGGATGTCAGGTGTGCTGGAGTGTGTGGTGGGAGGGGGGCAGACTATTGTGGACACGTGCCAAGCCAGGCCGCCAAGGCTTCTGCTGGCTGCTTTGGCTATGCATTTTTTATGGCCGCTCATCAAAGCCAACTAGAGAGACGCCAACAACTTGGCAATCAGAGCAGCTGCCACGGCCAGGCCAATGAGTAGCTGCCCCAACGAATCAACGGTGACTCATCGGGCTTGTCGGGGCAATCGACAGGACGTCGCAAATGCTCTGTAATTAGTTTTAATTATATTTTCTTCTTGGAACTTAACTGGTCGGGCCTCTATTAAGCATCAACTGTGTGTCTTGTCTTTCGTTTAACGAATCGAAGCTGACTTGAAAATATACGAGCAGCTAACCCTGTGCAGAGCTATATTGGTTTAAATATATGTTGGATAAAAACTAAGTATATATAGACTATAATACTATATATTGTGTATACAAAAACCAAGTATATAGACTCTCTATAGTATAGTATATTCCGATTTGGGATACTTCACTGAACTGCATTCTGCGCAGAACTTAGGCCATGATTTGACTTTTGCATTAATTTATGTCACTTTTAAATTCGGAATACCAATTTTCTTTAAATATTATTATGGTATGCTTCCCTTATATGAAATACAAATTTTTGTAATTTATCTTTTAGAAAAAATATTTAATATCTGTGAATTAAGGCATTTTATCCTTTCACAATTTGTGGGATTTTTCAGCCGCTTTCCCCTGCAGCTTCTCGCTTTTTTCAGTTTTCCTAGTTGACTTTTCTTGAGATCTCGGTTTTTTTTTCCTCCCGCATCTTTTGCTGCATTTGCTCGCTATATTTAGCTCTGAGCTGAGCATAATTTTCGCCTACCTCAATCTAAACATTTTGCTCGCTATGTTTATCCTGCATATCCTTCGGATCTGCTGCATAGTTCATGGGGGGCGCGCACAGTTTGCCAGCTGCAGCAGCAAGTGGCAAGTTGAGTGCGGCTGCGAGGGTGAGGTGGCATATTATGCACACTAACCAACTGCCTTTATTCACTATGATTGGCCCTTTCAATTTCAAAGTAATGCCCCAAAGGCCACAGCAGCAGCAGCAGCAGCAGCAGCAGAAGCTGCTGCTACCTCCACAACAGCCTCCGCACATTTACTTGTATGGCAAAGGAAAACTTTAACGCATAGCTGAAATGGAAAGCCCGCTTGGATGCCGCACTTTGTGCTAGTTGTAAGCTTAGTGCCGCGCTGCCCGTTCACCTGTCAACACCTGAGCTCCTTGGCTGCTGCCTTTTTACGCCTTTCGAGTAGCTTTGGCAAATTTTATTTTTACATTTTTTTTTTTGTTTTAGTAATTTTCTTAAGTGTTTGCCCCGTGAGACGTCTTCGTCGACGTCTGTGCAAGTGAACAAAATTATTAGCAGCATGTTCTGTCGTCGCTGCTGGATTGATTTTACCGCCGGTGAGGATTACGTGGTGTGCGCCGGTCCCTGTGCCTGGCCCTATCACGCCACCTGCGCGGCTGTCCCACGGGAACTGGCGCGTGAGTTACGGCGCAACAGCGCCAACAACTTTGCCAACAATTTCGCCAGCTCCGGCTCCGGCTCTAGCTCCAGCTCCGGCTTCGGCTCCGGCATGGAATGGTATTGCCGCAATTGTCGTCAACTTTATCGCCTGCAATTGTACTTTGAGGTAGCTACAACTGAAACCTGCTCATGTCACATCTAGCAGAAATCGCTGGTAGATACAGATACAGATACAGATACAGATACAGATACAGATACAGATACAGATACAGATACAGATACAGATACAGATACAGATACAGATACAGATACAGATACAGATACAGATACAGATACAGATACAGATACAGATACAGATACAGATACAGATACAGATACAGATACAGATACAGATACAGATACAGATACAGATACAGATACAGATACAGATACAGATACAGATACAGATACAGATACAGATACAGATACAGATACAGATACAGATACAGATACAGATACAGATACAGATACAGATACAGATACAGATACATATGTAGATGTGATTTTAGATGTGATTGTTCCTTTTTCAAGTCTTTTATCGTTATCATTAAAATAATTATCGGTTGAGTGGACGGCCCTTTCCCTTGGGCCACACCCCTTTCCGCCCTGGCCCGCTCTTCTCATGCAGTTTTATTTCCACACACTTAACGTTAATTGTTGTTGTTGCTGTTGATGTGTTGGTGGGCAGTGGCACGCCCCGCGGCTGCCCACCTGGTCGACGGTGCACTTGACAAAAGAATCTCGAGGCGTTTTCAAAGACGACGTCGCCATTTTTAATTGTAACTGTAATTTAGCCATTGTGTTTCAACACTTTTGATGACGCAGCATCACTCGTTCTCCCTCTTTCTGTCTCTCTCTTGCTCTCTCTCTTGCTTTCTCTACCTTAACAAGCCTAGGTGTGTGCATTTGTATGTGTGTGTGTGTGTGTGTAAGCACAGCTGTGGCCTCTTGGCGTGGGTGCACGCGTCGTGTTCTTTGGCTCAACTTGAAAATGTTATTTTTAGCATACAAATTGCGTAAAGGCTTCCACTCGCTGTGCCTGTCTCACTCTCTCTCTCTCTTATTCTCTCTGCTTTCAGATTGCCATCTGTGATGATTACAGCCTGCCTGTAGACTTTGTTAAGAAACGACCGTCCAGTTTCGATCCCTGCCTGGCCGAGGCAATACCAACGAATCCGGAGCATTGGATAGCGCCAAGTCCACAAACTGAATTTGTAAGTACAATTGAATTATGAACTAGTTCCGTAAGCAGAACGCTACGTCAAAATGACTGTTAATTGTTCCTAGCGCGAGTTGTTGAACTTTTGGTATAAAAACAAGAACTAAAAACTAAAGAAGAAGTTCAAGATATCTTAAGAAGTTCTTAAACCGAATCAAATGAACTTTTTAGAAAGCTTGGCCCAAATACAAACTTACTTGAGTACGATTTTTTAACGATCCAGTATCGCAGCTTGACTTCAAAAACGTCTAGGAACCAGTTCGCAAACTTAAGCAAATGAACAAAACTTCGACAAAAACATAATCATTTCACGTGCGACATTTAAAAGAACCAATATCAAAGCTTGAGTTCTAAAAGATCTGAGAGCCAGTTTGCGAACCTAACTAAAGTAGCTTTCTGGAAAGCTATGACTGTTTGCCTTATATAAAAAATGTTATTTCCTTGTAAATATATTAAATTCATAATTCGAAGTACAAACATACAAACTAGAATATCACAGCAAATGCGAACAAGTTCACGAAGCAAAACAAACGAATTTGCTTGCTTAAGGCAAAGCGAGGTCTATACCCATATCTTTTAGATGTTATAAATAACTGCTATATAATCAAAATTTTTCAAATACAGTAAACACCTTTTAAGAAGAACGCACCGTTTTCGTTATAAACTGCAACAATTGTTAATATCTGGTAGTTGCTTCTCCTATTAATATCTCCAAGTTGACAGCTCTGAATGTATTTCAATTAATTATTAGACTTTAAAGGTAGTCAAGAGTGGTTGCTAAAGCTAAACAAAATATATATATAATTATCAGTTGTAAGACTTTAAAGCAAAGCCAAAAATGAATTAGTTCGTGAACTTGCTGTAAAATTTATGCAAGCCTGCAAATGGGCAGCATTAAAGCTTTGCTGTGGATAAATCTTGCCTATGGACAGACTGTGCAGCAGTTGGGGCTGGAGCTGAAGCTGCGACTGGAGCTGAGGGTGGACCTGGGGCTGGAGCCGGCGTGGCTTGCATTGGTAAAAAGCAATTAACTGCCCTCCGGCAGCTAATTGATAAACTGCACGCACCAACGACAACAACAACGACGATGACGATGACGATGACGATGGCGAGACGAAGGAGGCAGGGGAGGACAACGTCAGGCGCATCAGCAATGCGCTAATGAAAAGCATGAAAAGCATTTTCCTCATTTTCTCCCATATTTGCCAGCCTTTTGATTATTTAACCGGCACGAAACAAAGCGGCGCTCAAACAATGCACAAGTCTATTGGCTAAATATTGCAAAAAATAAAACAAAAAAAAAAAAGAAGACAGCAATGCCAACCCCCCTCCCTGCCCACAGCCGTTGTCCAGCGGGTGGTCAGCCATAAAAAAGCTGAAACTGGCCTCAGCCAAAGCCATAGATACTAAGTATTATGAAAACAAAAACAGCCCGAGGCAAGGGCAAGGGCAATGCGCAGGGAAAGGGGAAAGGAGGGTCGGTTGGGGGCATGTTTCGGAGCCTGCAGCAAATGTTGCCACAAATCAAATGGCGATGCTGCCCCGCGCCAAAAAATCTCGGCCCGTTATCTAGTGAGTCCGCAGAAAAAATGTTACGTTTCGGGGCGGAGTTTGGAATTTCTGTTTTTATGGCCCCATACGAAATATATTTTTTCCTATATTGTTTTCCCTCATCTTGTTGTTGTTGTTGCTGTTGTAGTTGGCATTGTTGTTATCCTGGCTGCTGTTGGTATTGTCCTTTTGCATATTGGTCGTAAAGTGAAAGCGAAAGCGAAAGCGACTGCTGCGCCCCGCATGGAGGCGCATAAAAAATGCTGCCTGCCACTTGAATTTCTTTTTATTGAAATTTGTTTAGCCGCAAGCGGCCCCAACGAGTGTGTGAGTGTTTGAGTGTGAGTGCATGAGTGCATGAGTGTGAGTGTGAGTGTGAGTGTGTGTTGTGAATGTGGCACGCAATTGCGCAGTAAATGTTTTCATTGGCTTGCAGATTGCGGCGCTACTCAGCGCCGAGCAATGCTCACAAATATTCATTGTTGATTACTCTAACTTACTGTGACTAACGAATGGCTGTGAATAATGAGTGGAAGGCGAATGAAATGGTCATAGTATTAACGAACGGTCGCTGCGATCAAAATCATTCGTTATCCAATTCTGCTTTGCATTGTGTTCGCAAACGTTTCACTGCCTTACGATTTTCATTTTCATTTGTATTCCATTATGTATTCCTCTTCACACGTCGATTTCTGTTTGCATTTGCATTTATATAAGTTTTACTGGCTGCTTCGCTCTGCTTTTATCTATGTCTCTCTTGCTGCTTTCGTAAATATTTTATTGCCTACCTGCAATTGTTTCCAGCGTATAACTTTCGCAATTCCTGTTAATGCCGCATTCTTGAATATATTACTGACCTACTCTTGGTACTATCGTGTGTCCTATGATATATGCATAAACGTTTCACTGGCTACATGCTCTGCTTTCCTCTCTCTTTCTCTATTTTCCTGTCTCTCTCTCTCTCTCTCTGCTTTCGTAAACGTTTGACTGTCTGCTTATTATACTTTTGCTTGCTTGGATAAAGGTATTCTATCAATTCTTCTTGGTGTCGCATTCGTAAATATATTACTGACTACCCACTGACCTACGCTTATTATTGTCACGTGTCTTATTGATTATACGTAAACGTTTCACTGGCTGCTGCTCTTTTATGCTGCACATTGACGTAGTTTGAATACCCAAGTAATTCGTGAACAGCACTGTTACTCATATGCATTCATGCACTCACACGAATACTCACTTGTTCGCTTTAAGTATCCACATGTTCGAATGCATCTGTTAGACAGCTCGAAGTGGACTTTTGTGCGCACAACTGCTCTTAACCACGCCACCAAGTCGATATTCGCTCAATAGACCGCCTTTCCAAATATTTTTTTTTGAGTGCCTGCGCCTTTTACTAGCCAACCTGTTACCCTCGGGCCGCACGCCCCTAGGCTGCACTGGCTTTGAGCCCAGCCAATGGCCCAAAGCGTTAACGTTTAGCGCCTCTTTAGCTGGATTTCATGTCCTTTGGCTGCCTGCTGCTGCTCAAATAACTGCCCTCCATATCGCTCGCTCTCCCTCTCTCCTGCTCTCTCTTTTGATGTGCTTTTACTGCTGTGGCCCTCTGTTATTAATGTAATTTTATCTTTACTTTTGTTTTGCGTAAACAGCCGTGACGCGTGTCCACATATAAAAGCTGCAGGCTAGCTGTGTGTGTGTGTGTGTGTGTGAGTGTGTGTGAGTGCCATATAAATGCTGGCTCTGTTTTTCCTGTTTGTTGGCGTTGTTTTCATCTTGTTTTTTTTTTTTTTTGGCGGCAACTCACGTTTTAATGGCAACGCGCGCGACATTTTTCGATATGAAAACGTTGGGAACCGCCTCCCCCTCTCTATTATCACCCAACCCCCCTACCCCTGCCCCCTAGCCCCTGTCTGGGGCTGCACTGTGAAGTGCACTTGGTAAGAGTTGTCGTCTGTTTAGCGAGCTGCTGTTTCAGCTCTTCTATTACTCTCCATGGAGTAATATCAGCGATAACTCAGCGAAATCAACACAGCACACAACAAAAGCCACGTGTGTGCGAATGTGTGTGTGTGTGTGTGTGTGTGTGCAAGTGTGTGTGTGTGTACGTATACGTGTGTTGCTGTTGTGGCCTTTTTGTTTATTTCAATAACTTGGCTGCGAATGCCATTGTTGTTGCTGCTGTTGTTGCTGCTGACAACGTCACATATTACTCATACGTCGCTTTGTCTGGCTTAGAAACTAGAATGGCATAAAACAACTGAAATCAAAAAGTAAAATAACAAATTGTAGCAACAACAACGAATTGTGTATACCCTACATTTGTTTGTTTGTCCAAATTGCGAGTAGAACTGTATTATGGAAGAGAACTTGGTGCGGCAGTTTTTTACAGGTCTTAAGATCTCATTCCTAATTTGAGCCGGCAACAATATTTGGCATATTTCTCCTTTCCTCACAGAACTGAACTCGCAAATTAATTTTTATACAAGTTTTCTTAGCTAGAGCTAGTTTATTAACTGAGCTTAGTAGAGAATGTGTTGTAATATTAATCGACTGGCCCAAAATCTAAACTCGATCAGCTTCTCACCTGAATAAATACTTTCCCCATAATTCCTACAACTTCAAGTTTATTTCCTATTACTACTGAAAGGACATAGAGCAGCGTCTGTATCGATTAGTCAAATGTTAAACATGTCTGAGCTGTGTATAGAGTATATATTATAAATTAGCTTGCTTTCTTGGTTTATATACACTTGCATTGATTTCTTGCGCTTAAAATTATAATTATATAAAAAAATATATGTTGATTATAATCAATGTATAATTCAACTAAAATATGTTGTCACAGAACAAAGTTCAGATATGCAACACTTTCAGAATGAAACATAATTTTGCATATACAGGCAAACATTATATTTGAAATTTGTTGAAACTCTAGACTAAAAAGTAATTTGTCAGAAACTAAAATAAAATAAAAAATGTTAGAGGCAGGCATTCTTACTTCAAGAAGTTTTTGTGACTCTCCGAAGAATCTGCATACGAAATTTGCTAGCGCCTGCTCTTCCAGTTGCCGAGTGTATGAAATATGCCAAAGAATATAAAATTAGTCAATTTTATGCGATTTAAGAGCAAGTTTAAAATGTTTTTTTTTTTTTTCTAAGTATTTTTATTTAAAAATCCCTTGTTGCCAACTCTTTTGCCGCTCCCGGGCAAGTTTCGTATTTCTATCAAAAGTTTGACGAGTTCAGACTTTGGGGAAACGGTTGCCGCATAACAACAAAGTTATGATACCCGATGCCGAGCAAGTGCACACACTCGTCATAAGCATTAGGCAGACATGGACAAGGAGACACACAGCTAGAGATAGAAGGAGCAGGAGTGGGTGGGAGGGAGTGTGAATGGAGTGCATGGTCGGGATAAAACAGACAGGAATTGCGAATTTTGTCCTGCGCAACGTTTAAAAATGGAAGGAAAAAAAACAATAACAGCAACAACAGGAGAGCTAGGAAGCTCTTTGGTTTTGCTTTCAAATCAACATCGTCATCATCATCATGAACATCATTATCATCAAACATTATCATCAGCCGCAACATTATCTGGCAACGTTTTCATTAACGTGCACATAAAAATCACGTTGCTGCGGCAACAACAACAACAACGCCAACAACAACAACGCCCGCAATGTGCACAAGAAGTAGAAGAAGAAGGTGAAGCAGCACAGGAACAACGACCGTTAGACATTCGTCTAACCATTTTGATTGTAGTTTGTCTAGCCTGCCACCCACCCCCCCTCCACCCTGCCTATTCTCCCCAACCAAACTCCTCTGCCGTGCCGATTTCCCGCACCAATTCAGGCGCGCTTCCCCCGCCCTCGATTGATTGGTATACACATTTTTGTGGGCAGGGCCAATCGAGTTGTGTGTATAAAATCCCCGTATGCCGATAATCAAGGGCAAATATTTAAAGAGCAATATGTGTGCACAATATGCGAGCAAAGATTTCAATTCAAAGCCCCCAACCCCAGCCCCAGCCTCAGAGCCAAAGAACTAGAGATGGCAACGGGCTGAAGAGAAAGAATAAAATAAACTATCGCAAAGAACTTGAATTTTTGCTTCTCCTTCTTATTCTTTTTCTTCTTAAAAACTGATCTTTAAATAATCCGATTTTTGAGGTTCAGCTTCATTTAAGTTTTTGTTTGTGGAAAGTGTTGTAAAACATCAAAATCTCCATTTAAGATAAGACAAATGCGAATACTGGAATATTTAAAAAAGGAATAGTTATTAGGGATTTTTAATCAAAATATTAACAGTCTTCAAATATTCTCTTTCTACAAGTCAAATTTGCTAAAATTTAAAAAGTTGTCGCTGAAATTTTTAGATGGCACCGAAAACTTGCTCACCGCTAAATAAAAAGCACTTACGGATGGAAGATCAACCCCAATATCAATATGCCATTTGTTAGACGGTGTGTGTGGGTGTGTGTGTGTGTGTGTGTGTGTGTATTTATATTGGCTTTGCATTTATGAGTTTTGAATTGAGTTGAGCTCTCAGCAGTGCTGGCAACCTGAGCTCAAACAATGCCGCTGCTAGAAGCAAGTGAGGAGTGTGTGGTGGGGGGAAGAGGCGAGGTGCATATCGTATTTTATTTAGCACTGTATTGGTTGTGCGAGTGTCTGTGTGTGTGCCTCGTTCAGTCGATAAGCAGCAGCAGTTGACGCTTAATTTATGAGTTTCAATTAAAAATTCCTTTCAATTTCAAGTCCGGCAACAATAGCCAACAGTGCTTAGCGTAAGCCTCCCCTCCCAACACCACCCCCTATGCTGTTGTTATGGCATCAATTTCCGCATGCAACGTGCCACATCCCCCCCCCACCCGTAACACTCGCCTTGCAGCGCAAATTTATGTTTAACAATAATGCGCATATTTACGAGCAGCGCCCCCCCTTCGTCTGCACGCCTCCATCCCTGCCCCCTGCCCCGGCACACTCTCGAAAGAGGCGAATCTGGCCGCCCATAATGTGTGCACATTAGGGACACGTTAATGTCAGTTGTTGCCGTCGTTGTTGTTGTTGTGCGACCTGCTGTTCCAGCTATGTAATGTGCAGCTATTTGTCATCGTGTGTCGGACGCTGTCCTTGCAAAGCTCCTCAATTGGAAGATGGACAACGGCAGCTGCACCGAACCAAACCGAACCGAACCGAACGGAACTGAACGATAGTGAACGGAACTAAATGGATCGGAACTCTGGGCGGAGGCGGAAGGTGCCGAGCTCAGGGAACATGACTTCTGCATTATGTAGCTGTGTCCAGCAGAGATTGACAGATGGAGCAAATTAATAAAAATATAATTGAATGATGGCTGGCTGATGGCCTTGCATCAGGGTCTCAAGTCCGTACATTGATTGGCTAGGAATACGAATTAATGTCAATTTATATACAAATATTAACATTAATATGAGAAACACAAATCTGTAATTATAACAAAGCAATACATAATATATTTCATAAGGGAACAAAAAACTCAAGTTTTTATTCAAAATAGCTCAGAGTTTTATTTTCGACTTGCTTTATCTACAATCTAAACTCTTACTGAACGAACGCTTCCCTAAATGGAATATGCTTTGGACCAAATCTTTTTCAAATTTCTTGCAGAAAAAGTTTTACCTAACCATAGCTGGAAAGTTTTAAAAATGTGTGTGTCAGTTTTTATTTATTATCTTTAACAAATATGAAAATACATGAGCATTTTGGATCAAATTAGTTTTTGTACCCGTATTTTCAGTGTTGGACAACAAGATTAAAATGTGTTGCCATATTTGCAACAGAGAGTTCTTCTAAGCAATTCTCAGAGCTCTGTTTATGCAATTTATCCAATAGTCGTGTGTGTAACTGGCAATTTATGGAGATGTAATGCTACGTAATATGCTTAACCACTGAAAAATCAGTGCAAGTTCACTATGAAAAGCAACTAGTTTGCAATGTGGGAAGTTGGGCGACATTATGCTAGGCAAACCCAGTCTCTTTGTGGTGGAGGAAAACCTAAAAGCGCTTAACGAGTTGGCACCGTAACACTCACACACACACACACACACGCACACAGACACACACGTGCCGAGGCATACCACAGGTCACGCCCCCTGGCCATCGCCCACATGACGCACGCACAAATTTTAATTAAACGCCGACAAATTGGAATTGAAACGCAAATCAAATTAGTCGCAACCACATTGCAATTGCCACAGCAACAACAACACACAAAAAAACAAAAAAAAAAAAAAAAAAAGAGCGAGAGAAAGAAAATACAAAACGTTATCTCATTCGCTTTTTGCATTTCCTCTTCCACAGCTGCCATTTAACGAAGCCCAACAAGCGTCGCAGCAGCAGCAGCAACAGCAGCAGCAGCAATCGACAGCAGCAGCAGCAGCAGCAGTGCCGCCGCCGCCTGCCCCTTTGGCGACATTGCCCAGTCAAGCGGCGACTGCAGCGGCAGCAGCAGCAGCGGCAGCAGCAGCGGCAGCAGCAGCAGCGGCAGCAGCAGCAGCTATTTTGGGCAGCAACAGCAACAACAACAACAGCAGCAGCAACAGCTGCAACAACAGCAACCAGCTACAGCAACAGCAGCAACAACAGCAGCAGCAGCAGTTGCACGCGCACAACAACAACACTTTGCCAGCCGCACCGCAGCAGCAGACGCAACAGCAGCAGCGCGCGACATTGCAACATCCGCCGCTGCCCAACAGCAACATCAAGCAGGCGTCCGTCAAGCTCATCGAGGGCTATTCCGATCCGAAGGATACACGCCACCACACCCAGCACAAGAAGGTCTACCACAAGAAGGCCAAACGCCGTTCGGCGCCGCCGCACAAGCAGCGACAGCAGCAACAGCAACAGCAGCAGCATCTGCAAACGTTGCCAACGCCGCGCGGACATCAGCAGCAATTGCTGCAGCAGCAGCAGCAACAGCAACAGCATTTGCTGCAACGCCATTCCACATACAATAACAATAACGGTAATCACAAGAAGGACAAGCGCAGCAGCCATTATAATTCAGGTGAGCAACAGCAGCAGCAACAGCAGCAGCAGCAGCAGCTAGCAACATGTTGCTAATGAGCGAGCAATATGAAGTAAAATAGAAAAGAAAAGTAGTGCATACTTTTGGGCAGCGGGTTTTAAACAAATGCTGTGACTGACAGACTGATTGACTGACTGACTGACTAATTGAACAATGCTAGTTGTCTAAAAAACTGAAATGCTAAATGCTCAAATGAATATAAATAATGCAAAAAAGCTGTTCGGAGAAGTTGGTGAAGGCATAATTTTACTTTACCGGTGCAAATTGGCTTCCAACTGCTTTTCCCTTGTGGAAACTTCACTGAAAACATGGCGAATAACCGTTAGCATTGGATAAAAATCAAGCTAGATGCTGTTGTTAGCTTCAATAAGGCCAAAAAAAAAAATAAATAAATAGCAGCTAAACAAATGTTGTTTACATAACAGTGCTGACTTCCAGGCGACGGCAACCCAAAAATGCAAAAAATCTAAATAAATAGATATCTAGCTATAGCTAAATAACAGCAACAGCAGCTGGCCAGACAGGGGCGTAGTTATGTTAGCTGCGCGTGTGGTAAAGGGGGGGTGGGGGTGGTGGCATTAACATTACGAGCTAGTGGCAATTAGACGCACTTGGCGCACAGCTCGAACTGCGGCTGCAGGGATCAGCCAGGCGTTAAATGGCAACTGGCAGCCATTCGACTGAGTGGGAGAGAGAGAATGGGAGAGAGAGAAAAGGAGAAACGCATTGCCGGGCAGCCAAGCGCCTAATAGACTGCGACAGAGACGCGCCAAAAGTAACTCGAAGGATGGGCACACCAGCTGGCAAGGAGTGCTGCGACCTGGCCTTTGGCTCATTTGCCTGGCGACTCAATTAACTGCGGACAAGCTGTGCGGATTTCTAGCGTGCACTTGCCTGTAATTCCTTGTAATTATAAACAAAAACCTCAGACTGGCAGCTGGCTAAATTGTTCTTGACAGTTTGTACATCTTCCCTTGGCATTTAACCAGAAAGTCTAGATAATACATATAAACACTTGCTGCGCTTACTCTAACCTTCTTTCCATGCTATCTAAGGAAAATGTATTCTTTAGTGAGAGTATATCAAGGCGCTAGAAGTTAGCTTTTGGGATACGATTGTTGTCAGTTGTGTATGAAAAAAGGGAGTTGAAACCAAAAAAATAAATTATTTTGAATCTGTATAAGCCATACGAGAAGCTACACTAAAAGTTTGGTGCATGAAACTCTTAAAATTCCATTTTCCCTTATGGAAATTGGGATAGGCTAGGATAGATCTGGCTAAGTATATAGTTTCCAAGATACAGCTGGGCAGACATGGCTAAAATATACTCAAACCGTTCCGATCGGAGATCTGTCTGCTCTTCATATGAGAAAGTTACAGAGATCTTCATTTAATATTTGTATGCCCATGAGTTTCATGCAGATTAACGAATAATCAGCTGGGCTGTTGGATAGCAAAAGTTAATCCCAGGGAAGAAGTTGTTGGTGGGAAATGATATGCACAGATTTAATCAACTCGTATTTTTGCCTTTCAGACTCCTCGGCGCCCAAATCCTCTGACGAGGAGGCGGACATAGACGAGGAAGTAGAGCGTGCCGCGCCACAACTTCCGGCAGCAGCAGCAGCAGCAGCAGGTCAGGCAGGAGCTCTACTCAATTCGCCGGATAGCATATCGGATGATCTGGTGCGACCGCTGCCGGCGCAGCTGCAGCGCAGTCCACGCAAATTGACCGTTGCGCAGACGGAGTACAGCAAACGTCAGCCGTCGCCCTACTACTACTCGGATCTGCTGAAGAGCCGGGACAAGCCGCCGGAGGCCAAGGACAGGGAGCCGGACAGCAGGCAGACGCTCGACCGCGAGGCGAAGCAAAAGTGCCGCCAGTCGACGGCCAGTGAGCCGCCGCAGCAGACACAGGCCCAGCTGCTGGGTGGGTATCGCAAGAGCAGCAGCTTGGATGCGCCGCAGCAGGAGCAGAACAACGAAGACAACGAGGAACAGCAGCAGCAACCGGAGCACGAGCACGAGCACGAGCAGGAGGAGAACGAGAACGAAGCCAACGAGCTTGAGGAGATCGGTTTAAACGAACAGTCGACACCGAAACGGTATAGCTTCACGGAGGAGGGCGTGCGGATCATACGCTGCGAGACGCCGAGCACAAGCACCTCGGAGGAGTCCGACTGCAGCGAGTGCCTCAAGCGACGCGAGTGGCACGCCCGGGCCTTGGCGCTGGTCCGCAAGACGTGCAACGTCCAGCCGCGTAGCCAACAGTTGCCCATCGGCAGCGGCGAGGGGGAGCTGCAGCTGCAGCTGCAGCACTGCGACGCCGGCGAGGGGGAGCTATTGAAGAGCTGCCCAACGGACTTGGCCTGCGAACCGAGTTGCGGGTCGATGCCGCCGCACCGCCTGCTGGGCCCAGCAGCCGTGTGCGGAGCCTGCATACCGACGCCCGGCAACAATAGTCAAGGCCACATTGGCCTCGCCGCCGATGAGCTTGACGAGCTCGAAGAATACTTTCGGCCACGCAGCATCTTCTATGTGCATCCGCATGGCGTGCACGAGTGCATCGAATGTGCGCCCGCCAATCACAACAAAGCGAACACAGATCCAGCCACCAATTGCAGCGACTCAGCTGCGCTAGACGAGCAGCAGCAGGAGGAAAGGGAAGGGGAGCAGCAGGAGCAGGATCAGGATCAGGATCAGGAGGAGGAGGAGGAGGAGGAGGAGGGGGAGGGGGAGTACGACTCTGACAACATGGCCAGTCGACGGCGACAAATCTACGAGACGGCCTTCGATTGCAAAATAGCCAAATCGGATGATGACCTGGACGAAGTGGATCGCATCACCAACCACTCGGTGCTGCTGCAGCTGAACGGCAACGGGAACGGGAACGAGTTGACGCCGCCGTTGTCTAAGCCAAGTCTCAGCAAATCGCGACTCGAATGCAAACGCGCCAAGAATAGCAAGAATCAAGCGCTGCAGGAGCAGCAGCAGCCAAAGCAGCAGCAGCAGCAGCAGCAGCAACAGCAACAGTTGCAGCAGCAGCAGGATTCGCCCGAGGATGGGCACTGTCAGGTGGTGCTGCAGGTACAGGCGGAGCTCAGCCAGCTGCAGCTCAGCTCGGATCAGCAGAACCAGAATCAACAACAGCAGCAGCAGCAGCAGCAGCAGCAGCAGCAGCAGCAACAGTTGCAGTTGCAATCGACAGCAATTGCCGCTTCCTCGCAACAGTTGCCCGCTCGCGGATACACGCCCTCGCCGCCGTCCACCGCGCCGCTGCCCATCAAGTTTCCCGGCAAGCACGAGCGCTACATGAACAGCATTAGGAGCGCGCCCAATTTACCGGCAGCGCAGCCGGCGCATCCGCGACTGCGGGATCTGCGCCTGCCGCTCCAGTCGGCACTGCGCCAGCAGCAACAGTTGCAGCTGTGCGCCAGCAGCAACGACAACAGTCTCACCTCAGACAGCGCCTACGTGAATCCGCCCTCAACCAACTCGAATTCCAATTCGGCTGCGGCTTCCGTTTCCGCCTCAGCCTCAGTTTCGGTCTCAGCCTCGGTCTCAGCATCCGCCTCGGCGTCCGTTTCCGCGGCGGCGGTGGCGGCGCGTCGTCCACGCAGCTTTGTCCTGGAATCGGGTCGAGTCCTCGAGCTACGACGCAGCGCCCAGACCCATCAGCAGCGCCATCAGCATCAGCATCATCATCAACAGCAGCAGCAGCAACAGCAACACGGACAGCCGCAGCCGCCGTCCAGGCGCGGCGCCGGCCACAATTACAGCTCGACGGAGAGCATCGCCACCTCGTCCAGCGGCGGCAGCATGGAGTCGCTGCGCAGCAGCACCAGCGAGGGCAATCGCAGCACCTCCAGCTCCGAGTCGCGCCACTCGAGTTCGCTCAGTTCGCACAGCTCGGAGAGCGGCAGCGGCAGCGGCAGCGCCAGCGCCAGCGCCAGCTCGAGTGTCGCCTATCCGCTGCGGCCGCCTCTGCTGCTGCACTCGAAGCTGCACATACTCAGCCCCATATCGGACAAGTCCTCGCAAGAGCCGGCCTCGGCCAGCGGCGCCTCCGAGCAGTCACAGCAGCAGCAGCAGCAGCAGCAGCAAGAGGAGTCCGGCAAGACAGCAGATGCGTCAGCTTCTGGCCCTGCTCCTGCGCCTGTCCAGCTGCTGGCAAAGCAGCGCAGTCAACGCGCCGCAGCGCCGCCGAATAAGGCGCTGCTGCATTTGGCCGACGAGCTGCTCGGCTCCGACAGCGGCATCTCGCTGCACTCGCGCGAGGACGGCAAGCCAGCGACGCTGGCGCTGACGCAGCGACTGACGCTGCCCAAGCTGCAGCTGGGCAATGGCAGCGCCGCGGACACCTCTTCGTCGGCGGCAGCGGGCGCAGTCACAGGCGCCTCCGCTGCAGGCGCTGCAGCAGCTGCCGCCGGCGGCGTCGGCGCTGCTGGCGCGTCCGCGTTGCCGCAGGAGCTGCGCGATTTGCCCTTCGATATGCCCAAGCTGCGACGCCGCAAAACGCTGCAGCAGGAGGCCGCCTGCACCTCGGGCAGCGCCACCTCCGTTGACCTGGGCGACCTGCCCTTCGACATGCCCAAGCTGCGACGACGCCTGCGCGCCAACCAAGCCGAAATCAACAATCTCCTCATGCACAGCACCGAGTCCAGCGGCATCTCGCAGGCATCCTCCAGTCACTCCATGCGCGACGACCAGAAGCTGGCCACAAAGCTGGGTGAGTCAACTTTGCCGCTCTTTCTTCCCCTCTCGCTCTCTCTCTCTCCCCTTTAATCTATCCATTTAATTACACTTTCAATTCATTTAAATTAAAATTGCTTTTATTTCCAAAAAATATTCTTTTCAAGTACAATTTTCTTATCTCTAACACACATTCTTTCTTTCTGTCTCTGTCTCTGTCTCTTTCTCTCTCTTTCTCTCTTTCCCTTTCTCTTTCTATATATATATCTGCCTCTTCATCTTTGCAGACACGACGCTTTTCCGTCAGAATCTCACTTTGAATCTCAACGAGCCGCGTCAGGTGAACAAACAGTTTGGGAGTCTCGATCTGCGCGGCTTGAGCAGCCACAAAGAGCTGAACATGAATCTGTGCCAGGGCTACGTAACGGCTGTCGATCTCATTGATGTGACCATCCCACTGGAGCGTCAGGGGTGCGTTCGAGTTTCTCCCTCTCTCTTTGTCTCTCTCTTTTCCGTATTGGGCTAACCATTTAACAGAGCTGTTAGCCGTTAAGTGTTAACTGTACGCTTTTAACTGTTGTCTGTTAGCTGTAATCTGTTCTCTGTTAATTGTTCTCTGCTAACAGTTGACATTTGACTTTTAACCGAAAATAATGAATAGTATTGCCTTAAGTGTCTTGAGTTATGCTAATACTCTCTCTCTCTCTCTGTCTCTCTCTAGCTGGTACCACGGCGCCATCACGCGCATTGAGGCGGAGACAACGCTGCGTCCCCTGGCCGAGGGCTCATTTCTGGTGCGCAACTGCGAGTCCACCAAGCAGGACTACTCCCTGTCACTCAAGTAGGCTATCAAATAATAGTAGATCTGATATGATCAAATATGTTAATCTATTGCTTTCTCTCTCTCTCTCTCTCTCGCTCGCTCTCAGAGGCGCCAAGGGCTTTATGCATATGCGTATCCAACGCAACGAGGCCGGCCAATACATTCTGGGCCAGTTCAGTCGACCCTTCGAGACGGTGCCCGATATGATCAGACACTTCTGCCTGAATCGGTTGCCGGTGCGCGGAGCGGAGCACATGTGTCTCATAGAGCCGGTTATAGCGCAGCTGCTGTAAATGACAGCTGTTAATGGGGTTAACAGAGCCATTAACTGTTAACTGTTGGCTGTTAAATGTTAACTGTTACAGCAGAGAATTCCACATACATATTGATAGCCTATAAAACGAAAATGAAACCACATTATTTCTCCAAGTGGCATACAGCTATATACTATATATACTAGATACTATATACTATATATCATACATATATATATATATATATACATATATATATATATATATATATACAGTGTGACGAGTGGTATGCACTAGTTATATGCTCTAGTCTTAACTTATATTGTTTCTACTCACCAACTTCTGTTAGGCTCTAACTTTTCATTTGGATCAAACACACCAAACAAACACACACGGTACACAAAAAAGCAAATGAGTTAAAGCTAGAGAAGGGTATTACGAAACACGAACTATATAGCTTAGTGTTAAAAGAAACATTAAGAAGAAAAAAGAGCAAAGTACGTAGCACTTTCAGACAATACGAGAAAAAGGCAAATCGCATAAACCAAATGAATTATTTATACACATTATATATATACATGATATACATATATATATATATACATATACTCTACCTAGATCTAATACAACGGAGCACTTGACAGTTGCTAGTCGTAGTACACGGTTTTTCTTTTAGTTTTTTGTTGTTTGGATGTAAACATGTTAACACGAATCTCGTAATTCACGATAAGTGCAATCGTAGCACACAGAATTTGGTATCTATTCGTAGCTAGCGATTATCACGCGTATATTAAATACTTGCAAAGTCTAAGAATACTACGTAGCATACACTCTCACACACTTACACACCGATCACGAACTCTTTTTGCCCCGTTTACACGGCACGTTTACACGATGAAGAGATTAAACTGTTTAGGATTTGCGCTTTTCTCGTCTGTTTTTTTTTTTTATTTTTGTTTTCTTTGAAGCGGGACAGCAATTCCAAGGAAACAAATTTGTTGATTAATTTTATGTTCCAAACTAATATATATATATATACATGTCTATCGATCATACAAATCGATAGTTAGATTTATCGTAACTTATCTAGAGGCGGGCAACGCAAACGTATTTTTTTTCCTAGTTTTAGGCCAGGCATGCAAAAGTAGAACGCTCAAAGCGCTTTTGATTATTGGATATGAGTAGAATTCGATAGAGCGATGTGTAACGTTATCGATAATTGATAACGTTATCGATAACCGACAGCAATATCGATATCGGATGGCAAGGATATAGCAACGCATATGAAAATGTCGGTTTTAAGTGTTAGTTTCTAATATGTAGAATGAGAAAAGTTAAATACGGGCTAACTAAGCATATTATGAAAGATATATATTAATATATACGTATATATTCTTACTATTTATATAATATATATATATTATTATATGTATATATGTATATATATATATATATATATATATATATATATATATATATATATATATATACAACACACAATATTAAAGAGCAGTCAATGGTTTTTTGGTTCCAGAGCAAACAAGAAAGAAAAACAAAAACAAAACGAAATCGAAAACGAAAAGAAAAGAGAAGATCAAGTATTTTGTCAGATGTGACAGCATTATCTATATATGTGCAATAAACGACGTAAAATATCTATTATATCATTTAACAGTTATGATTTCCAATGCAAATTATGTTTTATGTGTGCCAAAATATTTAAGTATTATTATTATTAATATTATTATTGTATGCCTATTTTTATGACTAGCAATTTGTGTTATTTGTTACCTAATTTGTAATACTTATACTTTAAGTCTGACAACGCTGTGCAATAAGCAGACCTTTTTCAATACTGATTTTGTTCTTCACACACTTTTAAGCCTTACGTTATGCAGCACTGTCTAGAGTTAGAAAGAGAGCAAACACCCACACACACACACACACACACATCGAGTGCATATATACATACATATTATATATATATAGTACATATATATATATATATATATATTGAGTTTAGCTTGTTCACACCTAGATGGGTGTGCACACAGCTTAGCTTGGTCCAGCTGCAAGTTGTAAACGGCTTTTGTAAATACATATTTATATTTAATATATACAAACTATACGATCCAATATATGATTTTATTTGCAATTTCTATGCATAAGATTTCCATTTCACATCAAATAGCAAATAGCAGTCAAAATTGAGACAGTGAAAATCACAGTAACAGTAAACGCAAATCTTAAGTATAGCAACAATTTTTTGAGGCTTCCAGCAGTAGGCAGTAAAGTACACAGCAGTAGCTAGAATATCTAAGAGCAGAGCAGCAGGAATGCGAGAGGTTAATGAGCCAGAGAGTGGTGTGAACACAGCGAGGCATGTGGGATTGCAGCAGAATCGAAATATTTACTTAATCCGAGTGGAAACTTGAACTTTTGTTTAGTTCTTGATTCGATTCCAACTGGAGTTCGCTGTTTATATCCCTCTCTCTTTCTCTTCATCTTGCTCGTTCTCTTTCTCTCTCTCTCTCTCTCTGAGGCATTCTATTACTGTCATGCACACATACATAGCCCACAGGCGTATGTATGTATGTGTCAAACTATAAGTAAACCGAAAAACACCAGAATTAAAATAAATCAATACAAATGAGAAATAATTATACATTCATAAAATAATGAGAGATGAACACAATGAACAGCAACAAATGCATACAAATTTAATAAACAACAAGAAAAATGAAACGAAATGTATTTAATAAAAATATAACAAAAAAAAATCTTGAAAAACATTAAGTAAATATGAGTTGTATTTGAATAGTTATCGATATTCGGCCACGGAATTATCGGAAATTCCTTCGGAATACCAAATGATCCCATGTCCCGAATACTAAATTGGATCCCGTAATGTTTCGATGCGGGTAGATGCAATTGGGAGATATTAAAAAAAATTATCAATTAATGTTTGACTTGTGTTAGAACCCCGATTTCGCAAAAAAAAAAAAAAAACGGGATGTAACCCCTTGTATTTTTGGCAATTGGGTTCAAAATTTAGATTTCTAATTTTTTAATGCTAATCGAGTCCAAAGTGTTATAAAATTCCAAAATCGGACATTATCTCCGCGCGGAGTCATGTCGTTTTGGAACGTCATATCTCCGCGCGGAGTTATGTCGTTTTAGAACGTCATATCTCCGCGCGGAGTCATGTCGTTTTGGAACGTCATATCTCCGCGCGGAGTTATGTCGTTTTAGAACGTCATATCTCCGCGCGGAGTTATGTCGTTTTGGAACGTCATATCTCCGCGCGGAGTTATGTCGCTTTGGAACGTCATATCTCCGCGCGGAGTTATGTCGCTTTGGAACGTCATATCTCCGCGCGGAGTTATGTCGCTTTGGAACGTCATATCTCCGCGCGGAGTTATGTCGCTTTGGAACGTCATATCTCCGCGCGGAGTTATGTCGCTTTGGAACGTCATATCTCCGCGCGGAGTTATGTCGCTTTGGAACGTCATATCTCCGCGCGGAGTTATGTCGCTTTGGAACTTCATATCTCCGCGCGGAGTTATGTCGTTTTAGAACGTCATATCTCCGCGCGGAGTTATGTCGTTTTGAAACGACATAATTCTTGAATCCCGGAGATCATGGAGATATGTCGTTTTGAAACGACATATCTTCTTCAATCCCGGAGAGATCATGGAGATGTGTCGTTTTGAAACGACATATCTTCTTGAATCCCGGAGATCATGGAGAAATCGCTTTGGAACGTCATATCTCGCGCGGAGTTATGTCGTATTGAACGTCATATCTCCGCGCGGAGTTATGTCGTTTTGGAACTTCATATCTCCGCGCGGAGTTATGTCGTTTTAGAACGTCATATCTCCGCGTGAAGCTATGTCGTTTTTGAACGTCATATCTCCGCGCGGAGTTATGTCGTTTTGGAACGTCATATCTCCACGCGGAGTTATGTCGTTTTGGAACGTCATATCACCGCGCGGAGTTATGTCGTTTTGGAACGTGATATCTCCGCGCGGAGTTATGTCGTTTTGGAACGTCATATCTCCGCGTGGAGTTATGTCGTTTTGGAACGTCATATCTCCGCGCGGAGTTATGTCGTTTTGCAACATCATATCTCCGCGCGGAGCTATTTCCCGAGAAAAGTTTTCGATGTCCACACCGACCTCTATTTCGAAAAAAAAACGTCTATTTGGGTCAAAATTTTGGATTCCTTTTTTGGTATGGTATAAATAGTATAAAATTCCAAAATCGAACATTTTTTGACGGAAATATTCCACAAAATCATCAAAGAGTTTGAATTTACGAACGAATCGGTTTTTTGTCAACAACATTTGTCAACCCATCGATGATTAATTTGTTTGAAACGGACATTATGGCCGTGATTTTCAATAAAATCATGATAAAAGGTTGACTTTACAAACGAATCGATTTTTGGCCAACAACTTTTTTCTAGCCATCGATTTTTGATTTGTTTGAATACAAATTGAAAGTAGGGATCCGTACAAATTGAAAAAGGTATAAAACTCTGAAATCAGACGATATTCACCCGAGATATTCAAAAAAAACTATCAAAAAAGTTTTGATTTTCGAACCGATCTCCGCGCGGAGTTATGTCGTTTTGGAACGTCATATCTCCGCGCGGAGTTATGTCGTTTTGGAACGTCATATCTCCGCGCGGAGTTATGTCGTTTTGGAACGTCATATCACCGCGCGGAGTTATGTCGTTTTGGAACGTCATATCTCCGCGCGGAGTTATGTCGTTTTGAAACGTCGTATCTCCGCGCGGAGTTATGTCGTTTTGGAACGTCCTATCTCCGCACGGAGTTATTTCGTTTTGGAACGTCATATCTCCGCGTGGAGTTATGTCGTTTTGGAACGTCATATCTCCGCGCGGAGTTATGTCGTTTTGCAACATCATATCTCCGCGCGGAGCTATTTCCCGAGAAAAGTTTTCGATATCCACACCGACCTCTATTTCGAAAAAAAAACGTCTATTTGGGTCAAAATTTTGGATTCCTTTTTTGGTATGGTATAAATGGTATAAAATTCCAAAATCGAACATTTTTTGACGGAAATATTCCACAAAATCATCAAAGAGTTTGAATTTACGAACGAATCGGTTTTTTGTCAACAACATTTGTCAACCCATCGATGATTAATTTGTTTGAAACGGACATTATGGCCGTGATTTTCAATAAAATCATGATAAA